ATTATAAAAATTTTTTTTAGGCCCGCCCAGGCCCGCACACCGGGCCGGGCTTTGGGACCCAATGCAGGCCTCTACCTGGAGGGGCCGTAACCCTAGCTTAATCGAATCGGCTGAAAAATCAACCAGCCAATTTTTATCAGGTGATCCAGGAATTATGAAAATATCTGTAAAGTTAACATCAGAAGGAAGTTATGAAAAGATACCCTACTTGCGTGAAATGACGCCCATAGGCGCTATTTCGTGAAGATACGGTAAATGAATTTGTTAAATCACACCAGTGATGTTAAACACCACAATTGCTATATCTTATAAACTAGTTAAGTAATTAATTTTAAGCAAAAATGTTTATTGTTCTAAAAAACATATTGCTAAGCTTTATTTATAACTCTAACTTTTAATCTCTAATATCTAATCTTGTCCTAAAAAAATACAGTATGTGTGTTGTGATTTAAAATTTTTATTTTTTAACATTTAACACATACAGTATACAAAATTTTTTGGTCATGGGATCCTTTCTGCTAAAGATTGTACCCAGGTAGAGATTTCTTGACGGGATCAACCTCTACTTTTTGCTGCGGCAATAGAGTATATCCTATGACATGAATTTTGGTGAGCAAAAAATTAGGTGTTCATTATTAAAAAGTACATTCTTTCTAGTATTCTAGGGGTCATACTATCTATAAATACGTACACAATAATAACTTTTACGTACTTATGTCATACTGGTATTGTGCATTTGTGAGAAAAAAGAAACAAGATATCGATATCGATATAACAATTTAGAGATTGTTAGACAAAAGCCCCTTGCGTAAATATATTACTGCTTAAAAATATGCGCTCTATTATCATTATGATTTATGCCGTACGTAATACAACCTTATAAATGGAAGCTTTGACGTGAAGGTAGATTTTAAAGTTAGAATATTGAAGTAGAAGTTATAGTAATAAATTATTATTTGTTTATTACCTGTTATCAAAAAATTTCAGTCCCATGGTTAATTAGTGTCTCAAGATCTTAAACTTTTTTTTCTTTCGCATCTATACCCTTTTAGTACCGTTACGAATATTATTACCTGTTATGTAAAACACATGCATGAACATAACGTGAGAGTGATAAAATCTGTGATCAGAAATCGGTCATACTTTTTTTGTTTAAATTATCTGATCCAAGGATATATATTTAATTCTTTTGTTTAAAATTTATTCTTTTTATTCTTAATATATAGAACTATGCCTCTATTTACACTATTTAATCAAATTCAAATTGGCTCCGAAGTAACTTCAAAATTTTTTTACCGTCATGCAAAGTTTTGCGCTTCTCATCAAATTTTGGTGATTTTTCTGGCAATCTTTGTAGCCTTACCTCTGTGTTATCCTGCATTTAATACTTACTACCTAAATCCTGTTAGAGATTTCAGGCATACGTTTTTTTGGGAATTATCATCTAGGTCACAAGTTTCAAAAGAATATTTTGTTAAGGAATATGGGACTCCACCTTCGTTTCGTGTAGAACAGGTTGTGATAACAAACTTAAGGAAACAAAATATGGGTAGCGATGTTGGCGTTTTGAGAAAAGATATATTATTATTGGTCTTAAACCTGCAAAAGAGAATCATGGACACTTTCGTAATGGGCCCTAACCTTTCACCTACTAAAAAATATTCCCTTTCAGATTTATGTCTCAAACCTTTTAATAATAATACCTGTTTAATTCATTCTCCACTTGTTTATTGGCTAAATAGTGCTGAATATCTTTCTTCTGACTCTTCTATTCTTAAAACACTCACATTGAAAAGAGAAACATTCGCTGGAATGTTCGTTCCAATAAATTCGGTCTTTGGAAATGTTGTGTATTACAAAAAGAAAATTGTTAGTGCGGATTCAATTATTTTGACATATTTTTTGAAAGACATGGAGGAATGCAATGAAAGTCAGACAATGGCTATTTGGGACGCAATTTGGAAAAAAGCTATAAATGATAATGACACTACTTTTCGTCTCGCTGATGATCAAATTATAGAGATAAATATGAACAATCAGGGAGAAGTAAAGCATTTATCTTTTAATGTATTAACTTTTATTGTTTGTATTTCTGTAGTCTTGTAACTTTCTTTTATATTAACTAATTAATTAATTTCATAGTTAGAACAAAACGATTCTCCGGAATTTTCAACAGAACAGATTCTTCTTATGTTGATGTACCTGATTTTTTCAATATGCACCTTATTTTTCGGTCTTCCTAATTCCATCAAGTCTAGATTTGGTCTCTTTTTCTCAATTGTGGCTCACGTTGTTGTTTCGTTAATTATGTCACTTAGCATCTGTTCTTTATTTGGTGTTACTTTAACATTTACCTCTTTATCTTGGTGTGTTGGTCATCATATCAATATACATTGATCATCATATATGTTCAAATAATAATAGTTTTTTTTTTTAGGAAACTATTGCCTCTTGTCTTTATATTTGCCAGTATTGAAATAATGTTCATTTTAACAAACGCAATAGCAGCGACACCTATGCAATTGAATATAGAAGAACGCACCGCTTTAGGTAGTATTTTAGATACTCTCTTGCCATTTGTTTTTTAATGTTCACTCATATCGTCTTTTTTAGGTCTTGAAAAAGTTGGGTATAATATTACAAAGATGCTTTTAAGTTGGCTTTTGTTGTTGTTAATTTTTTCAGCGACAAACATTGGCTCGATTAAAGAATTCTGTATTTTCACTTCGATTGCTATGATTATCAATTATATGTTACAAATGACATTTTTTGTAGCGATCTTGTCAATTAATCTTGAAAGATTAGAATTAGAGGTACAATATTTACATCGACTAATAGTTAATTGATTGGTTTAAGATGCTATCCGGATGTCCTAGTTTAATTTTATAACAAAATTAATAATGATGAATTCAAATATCCGTTAAATTTTAGATAGGAAAACGGATCGTATCTCTAGACTTGGTACAATTAATTTAATTAATCTTCTTTATAATGTTTAAATAGATGTCTTATTTATATAATAAAGCTGATAAAGAAATCATTCCTCTTTCACAAACAAACAATTATGCTCGTAGGATTGGTAGTTCATTAGTGGTATGTATAAAATTTATGATCTTTTTTGAGTATATATGTATATGTAAATTGAATCATTACTTTTTTTTTTACAAAGATTCTTATCTTCTTGGCAGCCATGACGAATGTTCATAATATTAGTATTGACTCGCTATCCATAAAGACCACATTAGGCAATTTAGTTGATAACTTAATAGATTTTCCCGCCACACGTACAAATATTACTTATTGGGAATCATCAATGGATGATGGGTTTCGGAGCATTGTTAATCTGGACAAAAAAAATCAATTTATTGAAATTCGGCCGACTAGATATTTGACTTTATCTTATAACACTGAACATGATAATTATCGTTCATTTCATCCGTTTAGTGACAATTTGAATTGGAAGTTAATTAAAGCGTCTATAAAATCTTTAGTTTGGTTTTTCAAAATTTTTTTGCTCCCTATTATTGGTATAATAATTGCAATATCTTTTCTTATGGGTCTTTTATTACCAACGGACTTAGTAATTCGTATTTCTAGATTTTTTAAAAGGCCAACAACTTCATCTTTTAGAAGTTCTTCTACTTTATATTACACCGCCCCTCGAATAGTAACTTTACGTGGTCATCATTCAGCAGATATAAATTTTCTTTGTGCGAACTTAAATGGTGTTATAATCACAAGTGCTACTGACAAACATATTACATTATGGGACGGGAAACAAGGTGTGCCATTAAGAAAACTTGAAAGATATATGCGTCGCTGTGAAACGTGTAAATGTAATAGTACTGGAGGTATGAAAAGTTGTATTTCATGGCCAGTTAGGGCAATGTGCATGAATGAAAAGCTTGACCTTGCTGCAGCTGGTTTTGACGATGGTGTGGTGAGAGTATGGGATACAAAATCGGGGCAAGTAACTTTTATTTTGAAAAGCAATGAAAACACTGTTGAAGATGTTGAACAAATGTCAGCAATTAATGATCATTCAGTAAAGGAACGAGTAACTTGTTTGCAAATTATAGTAACAGCTTTAAATCCCCAGAGTAAGTCTAAATCGACATCAGATCAGAAAACATCAGCTATACTATTAGCAACTTATCGAAATAGTTATTTTCGGGAATGGGATCCTGTTTCTGGACAAAATACCCATACAATTTTTACAAATCAAAAAGGTGGTATCAATTGCCTCTTCGTGGTTGATGGCGAAAAACAAATTTATGACCTAGATAAAATCCATATTTTTACTGGAGCACGAGACGGGTCTGTCAAATGCTGGATTCGTACAATTAATGATGTAAATAGCACGAGCATGTGGAATTTACTCTATACAATTCCAAGTGATTTTGGAAACGCGATAACTAGTATAGCTGCTAAAGTAATCAGCACAAAGATTGGTATTGTGATTACCGGTGCTATAGATGGAGAGGTTAGAATATATGATTATCATACTGGCCAACTTATCGAGATATTGAGTCACGGAACTTTTGGAAAAAAGAATCTTGCAAAAGAGAACAAAGAGCAACTATTATTTAACCGACAGAAACAGAAAAATACAGGTGGCTTCTCTTCTGAACAGAATTTGTTTGAAAAAGATGTCATTTCCCATCAGGATGAAATTACAAATATTATAATTCATCTGCATAAAGAAGAAAGTTGTCCATGTGGAAATACTGAGGAGTCTAGCGGCTTTACAATAATAACCTCTTCATTAGATGAAAAAGTGAATTTTTGGCAATTATTCCGAAATGTTGTAGATTGTGCGTGCACATCTTTCCTTATAGGAGAATTTACGATTAATAATTACGATATCGGAGACGCATCTGAACGAAAAGTTTCTTGGTGGGATAGTGTTATAATAAAATTTATTGGGTTTGTGAGACAACCCGACGGCTCGGCAATTGTTTTTCTTAAAGAAAATGTAATTGGAGTTCGTCGCGCTAAAAATTCACATATGCCCATTAAGAAATGTCATAGCACTGAAGGTGAATGGGAAGTTTGGTCTTTAGATATCAACAATATTCGTACGCTAGAATCAACTGAAGAGATTGATAATTCAGATAATTCCATTCACACCGAATTTAGAGTTAAAACCATTCCATTGGTTAGTGAAGATGATTTGATCGTGGAAAAACAACGAAAAAACAAGAAACAACGTAATAGTGAAAATGTAGAGGAATTAAAAGGATTTATTAGAAAGCGTAGAGATAACTCTTTTAACAATCATTATCAAAATTATTCACATGTTTATAATGAAAAAGATTATGTGCAAGGCCAAGTTGTAGATTTTAGGCAGCGAAGTCAAAAGCAACGCCTACATCCAGATAATAGTCGCAATATAGGAAAAGATGATGAAATGAATGAAATGCTACCATTTGCATATATTCGACAAGTCATCAAAGTGGGTGGGAATGGAATAGCAATCGCATATGGAAACTTTGTAAAAGTTATATTGTTTTAAGAACCGAATGTCAGCTAAATAGTTGGGATAATATGAATTATATGACAAAAATTCACATATATAATACGTATTGAACTAAAATTCTTTTTGTGAAAATTTAATATAATATTAAAATAATAAATAGAGTTCCGAACCGGTTTGTAGTAGACCGGGTCACCCCGATCAAATCGGTTGGATATGCTGTGCGTGTTAATTCTTGTGAATATATGTCGTTTGAGATCGTACAAGCTTTACCGATTAATTAAAAAAATATTAAACGATATTTATTATTTAATGAAGAGAATATGTTTAAAAAAAGAACGAAATGCGCATATTCCATTTATTATTCTTTGTTTTAAAAAATAATAAAGGTATTACATGAAATGAAGCTAAATGCAAAAAAATTGTCATTTTTTGATGTAATTGGCATAATGCATCCTCATTGAAGATGGGTTTCATGAGTGCACATGATTCCTCAATCGTGCGTATTAATACGCATTTATGCGCATGAAACGGAATCATGCACATTTTATCTCATCTAAGCTTTATATAGGAGAATCAAAGTATATATAATTTAGGCCAATGAGCATAATGCCGGGCGAAATTAGGAAATAGGAAGGCTAAAGCTCCGAAAATCCCGAACAGAAAACCAAAAGACGAATAAAAATTTGAGCAAAAATGCCCATATTTTCGAAGTGAAAATCTAAAATCAAATATTATAAAATGCGAATTTTTCCCATCACTGATCCTCATCGAAATATCAATAAGTGAGATAGTCATTCATTGATCAGTGAAAATTCTGAATTGACGGGAATTAATAAACGACGCATAACACTATCTGCAAGTAACTTTTGCAGCAAATCACTATACAAATCACGATAAGTCCATTAGAATGCTAACATGGCTATATCTAGTCACTTATATAATCATTGCGAGTAAGAATAGTCGAACTTTTTACTACACAAATAACGATAAGTCCATTACAAAACTAACATAATCCTATCTAAATCATTTATACAATCACAATAGATAGTAAAGATTATGAAATTAACATTGAACAATTCATCACAATCATTAATGCAAAACTCTAGCTCTCTCTATAAATTATAATAATAATTAATACTGTAATATGTAACACACTAAAGTTATAAAAATCCAATCACTAAGTCCTGAGATCAATATAGATTTGTATACTATATATAGTAATATTTATTTGGGCTGCCGTCATAGAAATAAGGCTTCCTAACTCCCTTTAAACAACTCAAGCGACTAGTTATGCTTTAAAATTTTCAATTAGGTTTAATTAGGCTTTATAATCTTTCTTTGTCTATCTTTATTTAACCGATTTTTAATTTATAAACATTCGAATGTTTTTCGAATCGCACTAAGGGCTAAAAATAGATTGCTTAATTTAAACTAGGAATAACCAAATTCTTTAACCGAAAAAATAAAATTCTTGAACAAAGGGCAAAAAAAAACCAATAAGATTAAAAAGCAATAACATGTCATACGTAAACACAATAAAGATCGACGAGTTAAGGTCTATTTTTGAACAGTTTAGAGAGTTTAACATAACAGATAACCATTAATTCCTTTTCTGCACGCTCGTACGTACGTACGAACAATCCCAAATGATTTTTCATAAAGGGTAAATAAATTTTTATGCGATGCGAAAGAATATCGATATATTTTTCCATCAATGAGACAACCGAATTAACTTTTTTTTAGAACGTCAATTCTTGGCACAAATAAACTAAATCGAAATTTACATTCTTGCACACTTTATTTCTTAATAAAATCTGTACCATTTTATTTCGGAATAAAGTTCCGTACATATTTACGTACGCGTACATTTTTTTTATATAAAATCCTGGTCGTTTGGATTTTGGTTCATGAATCTTGATTTAAATATCTATTTTTTCATTATTTTTCAATATATAAAGCATACTTGCCGGCCGTTTAAAAAAATTATCTATTGTCTAGTATCTTATATATATATAATAATAGTTAATGATAGCAACACTATAAATCTTCACTTACTGAACTTTTTATAGAATTTGTTTGCATATTTTTTGGTTTAAAAATATCATGGCTATGAAGAATGAATTTGAATCTAATGTTGAAATCTGCTACAGAAATGGCATAGGCATATAAAAAAAGGCATTTGAGTGGTATTTGAAATCTGCTGAAGGTGGCAATTCGAATGGACAGAATAATCTCGGATGGTGCTACGAAAATCGCATAGGGACAGATAAGGATGAAAAAAAGGCATTTGAATGGTGTTTGAAATCCGCTAAAGATGGCAATTCGAATGGACAATTTTAATGTTGCAAACTGCTATGATAATGGCATAGGGACAGATAAGGATTAAAAAAAGGCATTTGAGTGGTATTTGAAATCTGCTGAAGGTGACAATTCGAATTGATAATTTAATGTTGGAATCAGCTGTTTAAATGGCGTAGACACAGATAAGAATAAAAAAAGGCATTTGAGTGGTTTTCTAAATCTGCTAAAGGTGGCAATTCGAATGGACAGCATAATCTCAGATGGTGCTACGAAAATGGCTTAGGCACAGATAAGGATGAAAAAAAGGCATTTGAGTCGTATCTGAATTCTGCTAAAATTGATGATTCATACGGACAATTTCATATTGGATTCTGCTATCAAAATGGTATAGGCATAGCTAAAGATGAAAAAAAGGCTTTGAGTGCCATTTGAAATCTGCTGAAGGTGGCAATAAGAATGGACAAGTTAATGTTGGAATTTGCTACACAGATGGTATGGGCACAGATAAGGATGAAAAAAAGGAATTTGGGTGGTATTTGAAATCTGCTGAAGGTGGCAATTCAGATGGACAATATAATCTTGGGAAATGGCATAGGCACAGTATAGTTGTTAGACGAAGCATTGAAGTTTCGCGCTGACGAAATGCGAAACCTAGTTTCGTCTTTCGTCAACTAAAATCTCAAATGACGAAATGACGAAAGGTGACGAAACTGGCGAAAGATGACGAAACTGACAAAAGGTGACAAAACTGATGAAAGGTGACGAAACTGATAAGAAACAGAAGCAAGTGTAAGTAAGGGCGCCACTGACTCCTACAATTACGTTTATATAAGACTAAAATTTAAAACATACTATTATATCAATTTTAATAAGTAACTTAAGAAGTTCAATTAAGTAAATTAGCACAATTAAATTATTCCACATATTTCTGTATATCGACATCCTATTGGCTAAATCAATAAAAGACTTTTTATTAATAAATTAGTACAGATAATACGTAAAAATTAATAAGAGGTACATACAATACATACCAAGAAAAAGGCGACCCCTTTAATAATGAAGATAAAAAAAGAAAAAGGCACTCCAACTCACCCCTTTTTAATTCTACTATCCAAGCTCCTCATACAAGATTTATAGATAATACCTTTCTACTACCTAAAGACTTATTATTAGTAGTAGTAGTTTCTGTAGTCATTTTTTTAATAGGAAGAGTTTCCGTGTTAACCACTTGGTTAACAACTTTCCTTTTTTTTTGATAAAGAGTTTGACTCTAATGAGATGTTTACTTTGAGCATAGTGGTTGATTGTGATGACATAGTTAAGGTTGGAGTTGTTGATTTTGACTGCAACAAAGTTTGAGGCAAAATGGTTAACATTTCAGTATCATCTGTTACATGTTGTTTGGCTGATAATCATTTGGGTTGGCAAAAAGAAGATTAAAGGATTATGTGTATTATTAGTTTTTTTTTTCTTTTTCTCTTATAGTAAGTTAGTATTAATTGACAAAAGGCATAGAGTAAAATCCTTTTATTATATATTATTCCAAATCAATTATTAAGCATATTGCTATTAGTTACATTATCTATCTGAGCTGAAAAATATATGTAAACTCATTTAAAAAATATTTATCATTTTATGTTGTAAATTATTCATAAGATGATTACGTTATTAGATTACAAATTTCTGATCTAAAAATTCGTTAATGATTACTTAATATAAAGAGAAAGCACTATTAGATGACAAAAAAATTACTATCAAACAACAAAGATAAGAACTTCAAATTACTAATTCTATAAATTTTTGTAGTTAAATAATAAAAGTTACAATATATTAATTAATATTTGAATAGTCAATTGATTCAGTTGACTAACAACTCATATGTTTTATAAATCTTCTTTGGATAACTGATATAACAGCCTTTCAAATTAATTAATAATAAATCAATAAATGAATTATTTAGCTTATATTATGAATATCTGCATCTAATTTTTTCTAAATTTCTTAAAAGATGAATTTTTGAATTGGGCTTCTTAATGATTCAATTAATTTTCTAATAGCTTTTCTTGATAAATAATTAGTTTTCTATGATTTTATAAGCATTGAATTTGAATTCCAAATTTATATCCAATTTTAAGCAATAATAAAAAGTATTTATATAATAAAATGGTTTCTCAATAAAGTAAATTCATCTGGATGAAATTTGCTAAAAACTTGATCCATAAATATATAGATATATATTAATCTGTTTATCTATATCAAAAAAAGTTATTTAATACATTAATGGCAAAATTCAAAAATTTGCAACTTGATTTACAATTTAATGATTTTGCAGACATGCATATCTATAATGGAGTGTTGAATAATTTATAAAGTGCATTATTCAATATATAAATTGTTTTAATTCTGACCTGTAAAATTCAAATTTTAATTTGAGTGATATAATAAAATATTTTTGAAAAGCAATATTGTAATTTAACAAAAAAATATATATACTCATAGATATTTCTAGTATATGTTTCTTTATTGTATATAGAATACTTTATTGCTTGAAGTTTTTGTCTACTTAATCTAAACACAAATTTTAGGTTCATAATAGTCATTTAATAGCACATTGCATAGTATAACAGCCTTTCAAATTAATCAATAAAGATTTTTAATAATTAATCAATAAATAAATTATTTAGCTTAAAGTTGATTTCTTATCTGCACCCAATTTCTTCTAAATTTCTTAAAGA